ACAGACGGGGCAGTTTTTGAACATTTCTCGCGGAATTCATTAACTCAGTAGGGGTGAAAGATACCTTCTCATAACTGCTAAGTATTTCTAATTCTTGTCTAGATTATACGGAAGAATAAGGAAACTTTATTCTTCAGCAAATATATCCATAGGATTAGATCCATGGGCACCAAGTCAGGCGGCCTCGACGGCCGGGATCTTGGTTAGCTATTCAATTATTCTTGAAATTGGTTACAAAAATTTGCTGATAACTTCAGCGTTCTGAGGCGGTGCGTCATATTGCTGGAAAAATATGTTTTCGAGTATATCATCAATAAGGGGTCCAAAGCCTACTAGTTAAAAGTGGCGAACTTTTAAATATTCTGTATTTCGAAGGGGATTATAACAAAGGATTTTGGAAAGGTAATTTTAAATTATTTTCAGTTTTGAAAAACACCCCGTAACTCCGAAACGGTAACAGATATCGATATGCGGTTTTCACCATCATGTTTTTGACAAAAATTGAGCTCCAGACATCGATATTAGTTTTCGTCTATCTCCTATAGAAAAGGGTGTTTCCATTTAAAAGCGTCGAATTTGACCCACCCTGTAAACCTTGATGATAGAGTGGCTATTAAATTCCTTACTTTGTCAAACCAATCCACAGGGTGTTTCAAATTTTTACCAAAATAACTTTATGTTTTTCCTTTTTTTCAACTTACAAATTAATAACTAAATTAAGTATTTGCACGAAATACCTAATAGAGTGTTGTCAAATCTTAAGGTCTCTCAAAAACATACTTTTATTGTGAATAATAACTGTAAATTTGAAGAATTTTTGATCATAAACCATTTTGTTCAAAGTATAAGTACTTTTCGGAGAAAAAAATACTATAAACTATGTCCAGTTGACTTTTAAAACATTGTTTATACGTCTCCTCTCATTTCATAACCTCTAGTGCTGCCAAAAATGCTTTTCTTTTCAAAATCGTTACGGAATTCAATCTATTTTAAAATATATGGCGCCCCAAATAATACAGAGCGGTCAACAATGACTGAAATAGTTGAATATTCTGATATTGCTCGGCTTATTGGTTGGCAATACCTTTGGCAATACGCTTATGACTGCGCTTTGCTGGTTGCAAAAACGTTCCAGCAATTTCAAGAGACATATGAGCCTTAAGATGAACATCGATAAAACTAAAATCATGTTCAATCATTTCCGTTGGAAATATTTCCATGGAAATGGAAATATTGGAAATTTCCAAACGTGTCTCTTTAACAAATATTTAAACAGTTTTTTTTATTTTCTAATGAAATAAACAAACAATATTAGTATCTGTACTCTTTAAAAATTTGGTACATCTTTAAAAATAGTTTAAAATGTCAGTATTCCATGGGTATATTGATAAATGAGTTCTAAATTACAAGGAAATGCATTTTCTACGGAAACTTCAAGAGATAGGTAAAAAATGGTATAATACAATTTGGTAGTCAATTAAATTGTGCATCTGATTCTTATAAAATATACAGGGTGTTCCATTTAAATTAAAAAAGTTATTGCCGTTTAAAGCTAATAATTATTTAAAATAAATATTTAGACACCCTGTATAAGGTAGTATATTTTTTATTATTGCAACACAATAACTGATCAATAAATAAACTTCAGTAAATATTTAGTATTAAAAACTTTGATACCCTCGGAGAAATAAAGTCTTAAAATGTATACTGCAATTTCACAAAATTGAAAATATTTCAAAAACGGTAAGGTTTAAGTGCAATAAACCTTAATTAAATTTACCTTTATTTTAATCGTAGAAATTAAAAGTGTAATAATATACAGGGTATTCCATTTAAAAAAATGAAACTTTGATATTTTTTATTTATTTGGGACACTCTGTATCTTGTAAAAATATTTTTAAATTGTAGCTCTAATAGTCCTTCAACGAACCCAAACCTTACAATTTGCAAAAATCTAATCGTTTAGCTACAATATTCCTTGTCGTATGTGGTGAACAACCCTGAGTTAGTATTTAAATCAACAAAACTTAATCCCTACGAGCATTGGTATCTCGGAAACTGTAAGAGATACGAAGAAAATTGGGTCAAAGTTGCGCTTTAGGATATTCACCAAGATACATCAAAAGAGTTTTAAAAATTTCAAGGATTGCTGAGTTTTTTCGAAAAAACGGATTTTTTTGAAAATCAATTTTATTTTTTTCCTGGCGTTACTTGTTAGAAAATCAAAAAACTAATTGCTCATTCTCATGGCTACTTTATTAGGGCTATCTGATAGTATTCTTAGATTTTCAAAATAGTTGATAATTTGTGAGATACAGAGAGCAATTTAATTTTTTTAAATACGGACCTGCATTTGTTATTTCAGATTTTGAAAGAATTCGGTCTCCTGAATACAACAATATGCCACACTCAATATTTTTTTTTGTATCGGACATTTTAACACAATTTAATTAAACTAATTTCAAGTCCGGCTCTGTTTTTTTTAAATATTCAATCTATTCATCGTTACAATATTGGTAAGCTTTCAAACTTAACAATGACATGGAGTAAAACATCGAATACGGATAATCAAATGCAATTAAATAATAAAAATAACATAAAATTATTGGGTATTAGTGATGTGTCGGTATTTGAGTAACGTGATTTTGGAGCGGTATTTTTTTGTAACGCCGTGTCGCGCTCCACAACGAATGGGGAACCTGTTACTGAACGACGATGATAATGACGACAAAATTATAAATTATTTATAATTTGCAAATAAATTATTTATAATCGTTCTTGAAGTTAGCTTGAACCGTAGTAACCGCATAGCGACGTGTTTAGCTGCAGCCGTCTCGATTTCGTCTGTCGCCTACAATAGTTACTGGAACTGTACGTAGCGTCGGGCGATCTCGATGGCGACGGCGACGTGTTCGCTCCAGCCGTCGCGCTCCTAGAGTTGTAGTTCCCTGTCGCGTAATTGCTGTAACTGGGCATCGACGCTCGACCTCAGCGGCGCGGCGGCCTACTTCGCTCCAGCCGTCGCGCTCCTAGAGTTTTAGTTCCCTGTCGCGAACAGAAGTAACTGCTGTAACTGGCTATCGACGCTCGACCTCGGAGGCGGCTTACTCGTTCCAGCAGTCGCTGGAGCGCTTCTAGGGTTTCGTTTTCGCCTGGAGCGATTGGGTCGGTTACTATTGGCGTTGGTGCTCCCGGCGCTACGTTACTTTTGAAATAGTGATTTTTGGTATGTACTAAGCATGGTATAAAATAGCGTTGTTTGAAAGATGAAACGTAAAAGCAAATAAAATAAAATGCAAATTTTATTTGCTTTTATACATTTATATAAGTTTTATTGTTTATATCTATTTTTAAGGTCTGATGATGGCTGGAATTGCCGAAACCGGTCACCAATAAAGATTTTTTTTTGACAGTGGTTTGTGGGACTAGGTAGCTAGTATAAAATAAAAGTAGTTACCAATGCCAGAAATACTACATAAGCGAGGACCGCAACATTTAGGAAGTTGGAACCTCGATTACAAAATCGCGGTATTTTTCTGGAACGGTCGCTATTGTAACACGACTCATGTGGAACCGGTATTCCCATCACTATTGGGTATTATTTGACGTCATTTTTAAAAGTGACAATACATTTCAACATTACAATAAAGAGTACAGAATGCATTCGGAAGTATAAGAAGAAGATATTTTCAAAAAGCTATAAATAAGATTGAACGAAAAATACATTAATTTGTGTATTATGGACGGTGGTAACCCTTTCGAACATGTAGAGCATTACTAGTTTTAGAAACTAGTTTGTAGAAGTTGATTTATTTATAATAACTACGATTAATATTATGCATATTATTAGATCATACACTAATATTTCAAAATCACAATAAATAAAGTTATAAATAATATTTTTAAATTGCTGACCTGAGTATTATTTGTTTGAATCTTTCAATTGGCTCGATTCAATGTTAATTAGCGCTGATCCATATTGTTGTGATGAATATAATCAAATTAAATAACTTAAAAAACCGGAGTGGGACTTGAAATTATTTCAAATAATAATTAAATAGTTTTGTTATTGTTAAGGTACCTAAAACAAAAAAAAGTACCAAGTGTGGCGTATCATTGTACTCAGGAGATTCTTTCAAAACTTCAAATAAAAAATGCAGGTCCGTATTTAAAAAAAAATTAAGTTGACCTCTGTATCTCACGAATTATCAGCTAATTTAAAAATCTAAAAACATTATCAGATAGCCCTAATAAAGTAGCCATGAGAATATGCAATTAGTTTTTTGATTTTCTAAAAAGTAACGCCAGGAAAAAATAAAATTGATTTTCAAAAAAGTCCGTTTTTCCAAAAAACTCAGCAATCCTTGAAATTCTTAAAACTTTTTTGATGGCATCTTGGCGAACATCCCAAAGCGCAACTTTGCCCCAATTTAACCATCTTCGTATCTCTTACGGTTTCCGAGATACCAATGCTCGTACCTCGAATTTGTAGCACCCTGTATACTATCACGGCACCGCAACGACAAACTGGAGATAAAAATAAAATTCCTCACTCAAATGACATTTTCAGCATGTGTTTAAAAACAGTAATATCCCTAGAATTCATTACGAATATCGTTATTATACAAACTACGTAAATAAAAGGCGTTTTTATTTTGCGATATTCGCATTTCGCAATTTGTGTGTATACGAACCTACTTTTATGTGCCCTAAAATACGTATACAAAAACGTATAAAAATATTTGAACTGTCTAACTACTATTACATGGTGTTTATATAAATGCCCTGTAATGAAGCAATCTTTTACTAGAAATCGATATTTCGGGAAATTGTTATTTTCGTAAATTCTTATTCGTTGATATTTCTTTTCGGACAAGTATCCTTTCATTATTTTAATTCTCTTTTCGGTTAATTGTATTCGGCAATTCTCCTTCGGTCAATTGTTTGCGTGCAATTTTCCTAGATCTTATTTTCATGTCATTCCTCCATCGATTATATACCGAGTTTCGCAGGGATTTTCGTTACAGTTTTTCACGTCCGCCTCCCTGGCCGGTTTATCGATGCCATTACAAAAGTTCGGACTAACTTTTCCGGCTTTTTCCTCCACGCAAATCCAGTCGGCTTCCTGTGTTCCGCCTCCGCAGCGAGCGCTGCAAGAACTGTATTGCCCTGCGAAATGAATAAATATTATAATGTTTAAAATTTTCCTCAGAATTTTTTTAGTGAAGATTATTAGACTAATATACGTATGATCAACAAAAATCGATTTTCTCATATAAATTTACGCTTATTATCGGAATTTTGATGGGTCGTAGAACGATGGTAGCCGAACGTGGTTCGTGGTTCCCGACGGGAAAGATTATTTATGAGAGGGGGGGAAGGGGCGCGAAAACAGGGGTCTTCCTGTTGAGACTGAGTGCCGGTGAACTTTAGTAAGTAAACCTCGTGAGTTTAAGCCGATTCTGATCCGTTTTTTTTATCAGCGATGCTGTAAAAAATGAATTTTGAGTTTAAATAAGTAAAAGTACCGTTTCTCCGTTTTTGGTAGCGCGAAAACAGGGGTCTTCCTGTTGAGACTGAGTGCCGGTGAACTTTAGTAAGTAAACCTCGTGAGTTTAAGCCGATTCTGATCCGTTTTTTTTATCAGCGATGCTGTAAAAAATTGAATTTTTGAGTTTAAATAAGTAAAAGTACCGTTTCTCCGTTTTTGGTAGTGATATAGTTCCGTAGGTAGTAGGCGATTCCGCAACCAGACCGATTCGTTTTGTTCCGACGCCAATGTTCTTTTGAAAAAAAAAGGTAATCGCATTCTTTCTATTTTTTGTTCAACCGCAAGATACCCCATCAGAATTCAGACCGACTGCTCGGCGTTAGTAGTAGTTAGTTAGCTCTCTAGAAAAAAAGACTGTTACAAGTTGATGATGGTCCAGATATTTCTGGTGTACTTTCACCAAACACAGTACGTCTTCTGCTTCGAAACAAATTTTGGCTAAAAATACAAGCAACTTATGACTTGTTTAAGCCAATCTCTAAAGTGCATTACCATTTTTGAAGCTAACGATCTCAAAAGTTTTTACCTGCATTTTTGAAATAAGGTATTGTTATTTAGCAAAGTATCAGATTCATCCGTTGCTATATCTAGAATTGTTGCGAGAATAATCTAGAATTGCATCCAGAATTGTACACATTTGCTTGTTTTCCTATCGGATGGACAATGGATCGGAAAATATGTAATAAGTATGTTTAAAATCTGCTTTTCATCTTTCTGCCCACCTATCTCGTCAATATCGTGAAACCAAATCTTCGTCTTACAGTGCCATACTCTATACAGAGCGTCGGCCACCTCTCGCATGTACCTGTGATGTGTCATCGGTGTTTTACAAATACACGGGACCTACAGTTTATTACCGAATCCGAACGGCACTATTTGAGAGGCAGTAAAAAGCAAATATAGTCAAGGTGGTTTTCCATTGCCTTCCTTGAGGTGGCGGCTCGCTGGTGGCTCTATTTAGATAAATCAATATTTCTATTTAAATAAATAAAGCGACCGTACTGGCTGAGGATCGATCCCAGTACCATCCCATCTAACGCAACGCAGATCGACACACTACCGCTTGCGCCACTGCCGGCCGGCCACAGGAAAACAAATCTACGCGGCGAAAATTTAACTGAAGCTGCAAAATTAATTGCAACGGAGTTCATCTATGAAACTGCAAGGCGTCATCCAAAATTTTTACCGATGTAAGTAGATGTCATTATGGAAGCACTAACTGGCACAATACAAAATTAGAGGTAATTTTTTTGCTAAAGAAGAAACCCGTCAAGATTAGACTAGGCAGCAAAGAGGAGACGTTAACTTAAGTTATGGGCATCCCATGAATGGAAGCTGCCAACGAAGCCACCCATATTCTAGAATAGTTTTATGCTTATGTTAACATTAAATTATATATAAAAGCTTGTAATCCCTATATAGAATCAATCTTGTTCACGATCCTGTGTTAACTTTTAGTACTGTATTACCTACCTTCTCAATAAAGTTTTATTTTTAAAACACGCTCTTCGTTCGGAGAAATATAATTGGCGCAGTCGGGAACGGATCAGTTGCGGATCAGTGTATTGACCACACCTTCAACCAACCAAGTTTGAAGCCGTTTGCTGATCAGAAGAAGGTCTGGGTAACGCAGAAAACGAAGGCAAGATTCAACAGCAGAGGAAGAAAAATCACTCAGGTGAGTCCAGTACTCCTTTTGCAAGATCCTTTTAATTTCCCTGATTAGGAGATTGGAAGTAATATTAAGTTAGATTTTAAGAAGAAACAAAAGAAAATCAAAGAATTTTCAAAGAAAAGAAACAAAAGAAAATCAAAGAATTTTCAAAGAATTTAAAGAAACTAGCATTTAAGAAAGAAAAAAAGAGTAGATTTAGAAATATTTTTGTTTTAAATCTTTTGAATTAATTAAAAGATATTTAGATTTAGAAAAGAAACTTAGATTTAAAATATTTTTGTTTTAATTAAATAAATAATTTTAAAAGCGCAAAATTTTAAAATTAAATTTATTTAAACGTAATTAATTAAAATCTCATTTTTTCAGTATTATGAGAACAATTAGATTAAATATAATCATAATAATTGTTACTGAGACTGGAAGAATAATAATTATTGAAGGTGAATACGAGCAAACATTTTAGATTAATTAATTAATTATTTAATTAATTATACAATTTGTTAATTAACTCTACTAAAATACTATTCTTAAAGTAACAGTATTGGAATTAAAAATAGTTAGAGTATTGAAATTGAAAATTAATTATTTTCATTTGAAAGAACTTTTGACTTAACCTAAATCAAAATGACGACTAATAATCCAAATTTTATGTTATTACGAATGTACGTTGATACAATTCCACCATACGACGGAAATCCACATTGCTTAACAAGTTTTATATCGACAATTGATTTTCTATTCGAAACGTACGGCGTAACAAACGACGAAGCGTTAAAAAGCTATTTGATTCGAATAGTACGAATTAAACTAACCCAAAGAGCACAAATTCTAGTAGGAAACCGCTTAGAACTCAAAACATGGGAACAAATTAAAAAAGCACTAATAGATTGCTTTGGCGACAAAAGAAATCTCGAATGTTTAGAACAAGACTTATTATTAGCCATGCCCAATAAAAACGAAAATCCTTTAGATTTTGGAAAACGATTACAAATATTAAGAAGTAATCTAGTTCAAAAAATTAACTCTTTCACTATACAACAAATGGACGAACAGACAAAATTAATATATTTAAGACAATACGAACAAGCAACATTAAGAACTTTTATAAGAGGATTATCATTCAATTTACAGAATATAATAAGAATAAAAGCACCAACTTGTCTTGAAGAAGCTTTATCTTTAGTTACAGAAGAACAAAACTTCCATTATTTCCAAAATTCATATAAAACTTTGCATCAAAATACTTCATTTAATAATTTCGCAACTAATAATTCTTATAATTATAATGACAATAACACAAACGTTCAAAATGCTCAAACGAAACCAGCATTTCCTACAGGACCTATAAATATACAGACAAGACCTGTACCCCCAAGACGTTTCCCAACAAACGCAGAAGTTTTTGGAAAACCAAAAAATATAGACGTTTTTAAACCAACTGGTAAAACACCAACGAACAAACCAGAACCGATGTCAACAACATCAAGAAATTCAAGTCTACAATATAAAAAACCAAATTTCTTTAAACCAAGTGGTCCGAGAAATTTTATATCGGAAGAATTACACCAGATAGACGAGAATCTAAATGATTCATCTCAACTTAATTATAGCTTAGGTCGTGATAATGAAGGTCATGATAATGAAAATTCTCAGATGACTAATGAATACAAAGAGAGTACTTATTCTGAGTCATTTGCCGAGTTAACAGAAAGTAATGAATACGATTACTATTCCAACGATAATGAGAATGAAAATTTTCAAGATGTCAGCCTACATCAGCCTATAACGTAAATATAGAAATGCATACGGAAATAAATAATAGCTTACCGTATATAAAAATAAGTAAACCCCCGTTAAAACTTTTAATTGATACAGGATGTTATAATTCAATTTTAAATTCTCAAAAAACACAAGAATATTTTGCAAATAAAATTTACCATTCACCATCAAATTTAAAAACTGGAACAGGAGAAAAAACTGTTTTATTTAAAGCTGATATACCATGCTTTCCTGAATTTAATTCGCCAGGAAATATAAATTACATACTTTTTGATTTTCACGAATATTTCGATGGAATTATAGGATTAAAAGAACTATTAAAATTTAAAGCTCACATAGATTTTGTTAATAAAAAATTAATAAGTAATAATTTTGAACTTCCTATATACTTTAGAGAACCTCAAAAAGAAAATTATAAAATTTCTATTAATGCCCATGAAGTAGCTAAAATAAAAATCCCAGTTGATCAAAAAAATTCTGAAGTAATAATTCCAAAACAGAATATTAATAAACTTTATATTCCAGAAACATTATCTAAAGCAGAAAATGGTTATGCTTATACTGAAATTTATAACTATACTAATGAAAACTTAACATTAGAACTAAATGAGCCTATACCAGTAATTCCATTTTGTAATAATTTAAAAGAAAAATTTAATTTATTTCATTTTGATACTAAACATTTTAAACAATGTAAAGATAAACAAAAATGTGACATTACAAAATACCTACGAATGGATCATATGAATAATGAAGAGAAAAAAGAAATAACTAAATTATGCAATGACTTTTCGGATATATTTCATAAAGATACACAGAAATTAACATTTACTAATAAAATTAAACATGAGATAAAGACATCAGATGAAATTCCTATTTATACCAAGTCGTATAGATACCCAATGGTACATAAGGAAGAAATAAAGAGACAAATTAACAAAATGCTTGATGACGAAATAATTAGGCACAGTTATAGTCCATGGAGTAGTCCTATATGGATAGTTCCTAAAAAATTAGACGCTAGTGGTAAACAAAAATGGAGACTAGTTGTCGATTATCGCACATTAAATGACAAAACTATAGACGACAGATATCCTTTACCTAATATTACGGATATTTTAGACAAATTAGGAAGATGTACTTATTTCACAACTCTTGATTTAT